GCCGCCGGGGAGGGAGGCGGGGCGCGCGGGGTCGGACCAGGCGGCGGCGACGATCTGCGCGACGCCGATGTTGCTGCAGTTGCGGCGGGCCTTGGTGCTGAGCTGGCGGACGAAGTTTGGCGGGAAGCGGAGGATGGTGGCGGAGGGGAGCGCGGCGGCCGGGTCGGCGGCCAGGAACGCCGGGGACGGGAGGGAGGAGACGGTGGCCATGGCGAGGAGGAGGAGGAGGGCTAGGGTTTGGGCGGGCGGCGCGGCGGGTCGCGGCGGCTTCAAGGGGGGGGGGGGGGGATCCAAGGGGTGTGGGTGGCGCTCGTGTGACCTTTCGAAATGCGGTGCGGGCTTATTTGTAGTGGGGTGGGTGAGAGGCCTCCGTGGCTAGGTGCACCCGAGGGGGAGAACGGATTTTTTTTTTCAACTCTGAGCATGAGCAGGACCCTATCCCGTCGAAGTCACGTGACTTTGTCACTGACATGTGGTGTGGCCCTGATGAAGACACCATGCATTTGACTGCAGAGGATCTCAAGTCATGTCAGCTACGTTCGGTGTTAAGGTAACTTTGGGCCTATTCGGCTGCCCTAGCTGCGGCTGCGGCGCAGCCGGCACGAACAGTTTCGCACTCACTGTACGCAGCTGCAGCCGCAGCAGTTGGCCTACCGAACAGGCCCTTTGTTACTTTTAGATTTCAACGTTTAACTGCCTACTACTCCATATAAAAAAAGTTGATTATCATATCTAAGAGCGGAAAATAGTTACATGTTCCTTCGACATCAGCGGAGCGAGAGAAACACTATTGTTTACCGTGCAGGTGTTTCCTAAGCCTGCTAAACGGTGTGTTATAAGTTGTTTTTAAAAATTATATTGATCCATTTTTCACATTTAAAATAGTTAATACTAAATTAATCATACGCTAATGACTAATCTCATTTTGTGTATCTTCTCTTTTCCTCTCCTCTCAAACACATCTATGTTTGGTTACTGCTATAATTTGCCAAACATTTCAGGTTTTTTAGAGCTTAGGTTCTGACAATGCATGGTTTGTAACTCTGAATATCACATGGCTTACTCCTTCTTTTTCCAAACCTAGTAGTAAGAACTTGTGGACACACCTGACCTTAGCTGAACATCTGATGTGTTGGCGATTGGTGTTGCGAAATGTAGTATTGAACCCAATTTAAGCTAAATAATACTTAAGTGGGTTGTTAGTTGTTACTTGTTAGTTATACACATCTACCCATTTAACCAAACATTGCTGAACAATTTTGAGTCCATTGCTGGTTGCCACATTTTTTTGACATGGCACAACCTTCCCACAATTCACCTAATCTTTTGCAAAATTGTACCTTACGATAAATTATTGGCCATGTCTTAATCAAGGTTTGGCAAAGACTTACATGATAGTATTTGATAGTGAGAGATTTAAGACCGACCGAGACTCAAGGGAGCTAGATGGTAGCTATACACATCCATAGATTTTATAAACTAAGTTAGGATCAATAATATGATGTATGCACACAGTTACACTGTAAAGTTGCAACCGCCGCACATGACATTTTTTTTTATAGAAGGGTTTTTTTTTACCGCTCACATATGTATAGGCAATAAAATAATTGTGATCTTTTATGTTGTGTGAGTTTTTCTTAGTTTGTGTGTGCTTTTATTTATTCAGGTGTGAGTTTTTGTTGAATTGGTGTTATAATTGGATGTAGCTATTTGAGCAAAGGCCGGGATTATATTCCATTATTAAAAAAATATGTATAGGCAGTAAAATGTGAAGTTGATGTTGAAAATGAGAATGATAAAATCTGAACTATTGGTTCTAAATTCTGGTCTTACATTTCTTTGTTAGTATTGAGGTAGTCGCAATTTGGCAGTATTATAAACAAAATTAGTTTATTCTACTTTCATATCTTATTTTCAGTTTATGACGATAATCTACACATGGCACTATATAACTTATTTCATATTAAACTAGTCACAGAGTGGCGCGTTGCGCAACAATAAATATCCACATATAAGTGTTAACACGTGCTCGTAAATTATTTTGTGAGTACATCTGCACTATTTAATACTCCCTTGTTACATAATATAAGAGATTTTATCCTTACTAATTATCCCACAATATAACAATTTATTTGAGAAATAATATAAGAGATTTTGGTGTAGTACTTATCACATCTATCAACTCAAATTCAATTTTCTACCTATTACACACTACTACCCACTCACCCACAACCAAATCTTATTTAATAGGGATATTTTATTTTGCTATCAATAATCTTAAAAATAATATATTATATTATGAGAGCGTTATTTTAGAGAAGTAGAAATCAGAGTTACATCATTTTGTTGCATAATATTAGGATATAGGGGGTGTTTAGATCTAGGGATGTAAAGTTTTGGCGTGACACGTCGGGTATTATATAGGATGTCGCATGAGGCGTTAGGGCACTAATAAAAAAAAACTAATTACAGAATCCGTCAGTAAACCATGAGGTGAATTTATTAAGCCTAATTAATCTGTCCTTAGCAAATGTTTACTGTAGCACCACATTGTCAAATCATGGATCAATTAGGCTTAAAAGATTCGTCTCGTAAATTAGTCATAATATGTATAATTAGTTATTTTTCAGACTATATTTAATACTTCATACAGGTGTTCAAACGTTCGATGTGATAGGGTGTAAAATTTTTGTGTGGGATCTAAACAGGGCCATAGTCATTCAAGTGCTTGTTGTTGGTGCATATCACACACCATTCTCTAGATCACTATATATTCAAACAACATAATAAACTATTATCACGATATACTAAGTACTTTTTAGGCATGTTTTTTCTGCTGAATGGAATGTAAATGATATATTAAGATAACATAATGTTTAATACAAATATTTAAGTACAAATGCAACACTTTAGTAATTAATCAAATAATTTATTTTTGCAAGTGTGTACTCTTTCTGGATTTTAACGTACAACACCGCTAATTTTTAGACATACTTTTGACTATTCATCTTATTTAAAAGTTGTGTAAATATGAAATATACATAAAAATACCTCTAATAAAATAAATACTAACAAAATAAATGATAAATAATAAAATAAATACTAACAAAATAAATGATAATTATGTGATTTTGTTAAATACATCTTTAAAAATCAAGAGCATCATGTATTAAAAACCAAAACCGAAGACAACATATCGAAGTTCCTTGTTTTAGTAAATACATTTTGTATTTTTACTTGAACTATGCTATTGATTTTTTTCTCTATCATTGACAGTGTGCATTGTAGTTTTGAGGCTTTTTGTTTTGTTCATTTGAATAGAACTAAGAATCCAACGGTTCATTTTGCTTGCTGCCTACATCTGATGGTGGTCGTTTTGTAGCCTACGTGGCTCAATGAGGATGAGAGAAAGATTAATTCTTTCACTACTTTAGATATTTTCCCTATAGTGCAGGAAATACCATAAATAGGCTAATTGTAGTCGGCCACACCAGGACTTCACAAAGCACCAATAGGGGTTTTCAGAAGACAGAAATTGGTGTTGTAGGCTTGTAGTGGCAACAGCTTAGGATGCGTTCGTTCGTTAGAGCTAGGAAAGTTCACCTCTAGCACCGAAAAAAGAGCAGTTCATTAGCATATGATTAATTAATTAGTATTAGTCAAAAAAAAAACTTGAAAATGCATCGATATGATTTTTTTTAAAGCAACTTTTCTATAGAATTTTTTTTTAAAAAAATATACCGTTTAGCTGTTTAAAAAACGTGCGCGCGGAAAATGAGGAAGCGGAGTTGGGAACACTCGGTGCCGAACTCAGCCTTAATACCCTCTTCATCCCATAATATAATTAACGTGTGCATATATTTTAAGATTCAACATTAAAAATATTTGGCCAATGGTTAGTATAATATAAATTACATTTTATTTTTTTTAAAATAATATCATTGGATTCACATTTAAATTTACTTTTAGATAGTTATAATTTTGGTGTAACAATCCATATAGTATATGAGAAATATAAGTCAAAGATTCTAGTATATATGAAAAAAAAAGTCAAATATTAGTTTTGAAAATTGTACAAGTTTGATCATGCCTATATTATATTAGGATGGTAGGAGTATCAAGGTTGATGTTCGGTTGGTATTATTGGACGGAGTGACTCATTAGCGCATGATTAATTAAGTATTAGCTATTTTTTTAAAAAAATAAATTATTAAATATGAATTATGAAGCAACTTTCAGATAGAATTTTCTTTGAAAAAAATACACTGTTTAATAGTTTGAAAAACGTACACGCGAAAAACGAGATGTGTAACTTGGGAACCTTAGCAAATAAAACTCAGCCTAAAGAAATGGTGTGACCCAAATTTAATTGGTTCGTTAATGATCCAATTAAATTGGTTGGTTAATGATCCAAATAAATTGGTTGGTTAGTAGACTGAAAACGAAGTCAATAGATAATCCTAACGTAATTATGTCTTTGGAAAAAAAAAAGAACATTTTCGCTCAATGTGAGGTGGACGGGGCCACGGAGAATTGGGGTATTTCATTTCAGTTGATTCAGTTCCTGGCACTTGCTCTCGGGCCACCTAGGGCCACCTTTTTAGGCATGCACTGTCAGTCACAAATAAGGATAGAACCCAACTCATCGGCTGAGTTGGAGGGATATATACATATCCATTCGTTTGTTTTCCCATCATCCCAAAACGAATATTCCAAAATCATGGGAAAAGAATAATAACATAGAGAATTTTTTGGTGTTATTAGATGTATAGGTCACGGCATACCTACACTATATTGTGGTGTGACTTCGCAACATCATTAGATAATTCAATATATTTCCTCCGTTTTGTTTTAAAATATACGATGTTGTTAATTTTATATTGTTTTGTTAAAGAATTTAGGGTAATAAAAAAGAATAAGTCAGGTTTAAAATGCTTCAATAGATTTATTTATGACAAGTTATAATAAAATAAATAATACTGACATAGTCTTTTTAATAAGGTCGAATGTCATGTCAAAAATTAAATATGATTTGGTGCAAGTGATTCTGTTGTTACTTTTAGTGAAAGCTAATTATTAGTTGGCAGCCTAGCACTTCTTGTTGAGCCCACTTTTATGCATGCTTAGATCTTATACGGGATTGACTATATATCAGTCAACTAAAATTTTAATAACCCTGTATCTACCGTGAGCCGTTGGATCGACACCTAACAAATTCATGATATACATGGTTTATCTTCTCCAATGAGACATGTTATATTTTT